TCACATTCCAAACGCTCAGTTTATTTCGAATTTTTTCTATTGACAACAATCATATACATCAGTCATGTAATATTAAGTGAGAAGTAAAAGTTGAGCAAAAAGAACTAAAGGACGATCGAAGCTCGATAAATGTGAAGATCAATCGCTGGCGTCTCGTCAACATTAATTTAAATGAAGATAAGCGAATGTCAAACTTGTCATTACTATTATTCTATTGATGATGGAAAACGTTGCAAGGCTATGTCTTTTAATATAGGGCTTGTTAAAAGATTAGCGATAGTAGGTAAAAGCAACCAATAAATCTACTGTTGAAATTGAAAATTTAATTGTAAATAAATCTTAGTGAATGGTGATCCTAGGAACCAACCTGTCCTAAATGGAGAGTCAAACAGTGGAATGGTGCATATAAGATTGGTTTCAACTTAAAAACGAAAATAATGGTGAAAAAATTTTTATCCTCTTTCGTTATTTGACAGATAGTTTTATTTCATAGATGAAACTCTAATTGTTAGATTTCTCAAATATAAATGATGCTTGTATTCATCGAGACTTGGGTTAGAAAGGAGTATAGTGTTATCTAGTGTGTAGGATCAGCATTCTCCAAATTCTATTTACGATCAAATTTTCAATTTCAACATGAATTCTTTTGAGTACTTTTGTCTATTATCGCTAGTCTTGGCAAGAAACTTAATTTGCTTTTATGTAAAGGAATGATTTGAAAAAATACACTTTATGAGGTAACAATCATCAGTACATATATTCACACCAATCTAGCTATTTGCTTTAATAATTTTTCTTCTTTTATTGGAAAAACATTTCAATATTAGAGATATATTTTTCATATACCATGCAAATACTTGTAAATATATATATATTAATAGATCAAAAGAAAAAAGAAAGATCGTTAGTCGTTATTGTATAGTCATAACCATCTATATTTCGTTTAAAATACGAGATTGACGAATACATTTTAAAATTCAATTACCGATCTTCGATATTACAA